GAATGCAGGAACAATACGCATTAAAGATGCATATGGTGTCATTTTTTGGCCACAAAAACCAACCAAATACCAGCAGATTCAGTTTCAAATAGTATAACCAAGAGAATACCAAAGGACTTGTTTAATATTACTCGAACATGATATTTGGACGGGGTTTCATGCTGGCTTTCTATGCTGTATATACATTGGGCGGAAAAGTACGTCACATAAGTACCTGTAGGTTAAATTTCTGACCAAAAAAGAAAGGAGCGGTGTAAAGCTCTTTTTGGGCTGATCGAGCAATTCAGTTTATCCTTTGGCATGTCTATTTCATTTGAGTCGTAAAAGAAACTAGTAGAAGTGGTTTATATGTGTCACTGGGAATCCATGCTCCTCTGACGCTTGGCTCATATGTACCTTTACATGAGATAAAAAGGGTCCAATTTTATTTCATTCCCCATTTGATTGCATATTTTAAATTATTTAGTTCCTATAAATGATGAAGCTGTGAAATATGATGGGTCATTAAAAGAGAAATATTATGCCAATTGTTTTTCATTTCTCCGCCAAACAGGACATTCCGTAGAACAATTTCATAGAAATAATATTGGCATTGTGGGGTGGCATTGCTCCTGGGCACAACTACCGCATTCTATCATCATAGCAGTATAAGACGGTGCTTTATTTCAGGATTTGTCACTGTTATACCGTGGAACGTGACTGCAATTGAAGAGGGTCTAGGGACACAAATGCCATATAACTACAAACAACTAACAGTGCAAAACGACTGCGTGTTACGTAATATACACCGGTTCAAATATCTCCTAATGCACGACATCGACGAGGTTATCGTTCCCTACTTGCACGAGAACTACTCAGCCATGATGCAGAGTTTTCCTAGCAGAGCTGCCTACAGGTTCAGCAATGCCTTCTTCCCGCGTGTCTTCATCGACAATGTGACTGTGTACGAAAACAGAACTGGAGATAAAGATGGACGAATGTTGCGATACAAACCGGTAGCACTCTTAGCAACAAAGCGGTTACACGTTTGGTTTGGCGGTGGTAGATGGAAAATGATCATAAGACCGGAAAAAGTGAACCTCATGACGACTCATAGTGCAATAAATGCCACCAGCGTCTATGCTGTGTTGCCTTCTGAAGCCATTCTGCATCATTTTAGGCAAGGACGTCCAATCTACATTAGGAGAAATATGGTCCGAAAGAAAAACTTTCTTGAAACACGCATGTACCATTTTAAGGACAAATACCTGGCACGCTTGGAAGTGACCGAGAAAATGATGAAGAAGAGTGGAATTGAATGGCCATGATGTAAAAAATCCGTCTACGGTACACTATGTCTATACTTAATACCTGTTGATAGTGTATATTGAGAGGCACGGTGACATTTGTATATTAGGGTTTTAGAATTACATAAACAGTCAACGCGCACATACGCGCACACGTATGTAAAAAATAATTAAATAAAATCACTTGCACAATTTCAAATCCGAATATTTTGATAGGATCCATATGAAGTACACAGTACATGTAGGGCTGTTTTCTTGACCTATTGCTATACTAAGTATTTCTTTTATATGTTTGAATGCAAATTTCAAGTGTGGGACGGGCTGCTCATTGGGATAAAAAAGAGACTTCTCACCACCCTGTCCAATAGCAGATCGGAATTATCAGGACCTCGATGCTCAGAGCTGATACATTTAGCCATATAATCATCCTTTATTCGCATTTTCTGTTACTAAATGATACTAAATACATCTTTACCAGAAAGTGTACAGATGACCTCTATGTGGCGTAGAATGTGTTGTCAAGGTAACGCATGCAGTCAGCATTGTGGTTGTGTTATTAACCCAGCCTTAACGAGCTGTTTTAACGTCCATGCCCGCTGCCATGGTAACATGCAATGTGCATATTAGTATAGCCGTGTATATACTAAACCCTCTGTGTGTAATAAAGCGCCAACCTTCTAACGGGGAATCTGTAACAGTTGGAAATAGAACGGCGCCCGTATACAACAACAACATGCATTATGTAATATCCCACACGAAAGCGCAGTAGATACTCCAGCGCAGTAGACTACTGCAATTATACTGCAAACATGCCTCAAATCTGCTTCGATTTGGGAGCTAAGTATCATGCTGCTAATCTACTGCATTAATGCTCCTCTCTGTACAAACCTATGTACTTTTTGAAGTAGAATTGCAGTAGGCTATGCTGCATTTCTACTGCAAATATGCTCTACATCACTACTGTGTGAATGCTTTTTTGCTACTTCGATACTACTGCATTTTCGTGCGGGAACCTATGTACTTTATGGAGTAGAATTGCAGTAGGCTATACTGAATTTCTACTGCAAATATGCTCCACACCGCGTTAATGCTTCTTTGCTACTTCGATACTCCTGCATTTTCGTGCGAGATATCTTTGTAAATTATCAATGCTGAGTCTGTGATATGGAAGTTTTATACCTTTCACATCCTCACTTTCTCATGAATGTCACAGGTGAATCCGGATAGCAGGGTTGCCAGCGAATCTTTGTTAAAATCCTTAGTGCAGACTGTATTGTTGATGGCAATCTGTAATGGGGGCCCATAACTCCTTAACAAAAGCATTTAAACAAAATGTGCTTTCCCAGAGATTTAGATCGATCTAAAGATTAAGTTTTAGATCGACCTAACTCCCTGGGGGTTCACGCTAAATTGCAGTCAGCCGAGCGGGCACCATAGTTAATTACCCCCTTACAGCTTTTAGTAGGCGGGACAGACGCTTAAGCCGGTCAAGCTGACAGTAATCTAGCGAGACTCCCCACAGGAATAGATCGATCTAAAATCTATGGAAATGGGGTGAAAATGACTGCCCGGGATTGTAGCCCGTACAAATATGCCAATTTACCTGATAAATATTGTTCAAGAATGAAGTTACGCCCCATACCGAATACCTTTGTCACACCCCTGTTCACCCTTAGCAAAATTTTAGATTACTTCCAAACTGTTGCCGCACATTTGCTGCAAATCTACTGCTGTTTATCCACTTTTCTTAGGGAATATATTAAAATCTTAGTCTATACCTTTTCTTAGTTTTATACAGTAGTTTCATTGTGGTT